GGATTAACTTGCACCAGATATTATGCTCAGCATTCTACAATATTATCTCATTTATTCTTCAAAATGACCCTATGAGGCAAGTATTCTTTTTTTCCCTTATATTTTTACTAGAGGCCCGGTGCACAGATTCGTTCAATGAGTGGGGGACGAGGGGACTCTCAGCCTAGCCTGCACCCACGGGCAGTCCGGGATCCCTCGGGGGATGTCCGCCTGCCTGCTTAGGCCCAATTCTCTCAGGCCTAAGCTGGCAGTCAGACATCCTGCTTATAGTCCGGGGCTCTCACAGTCCGGGACCCCTCGCTCCTTACTGCCTGCCTGCAGTGGAGGTGAGAAAGGCTCCCACCACCACTACTGTGCTCGCCCACCATTAGCTCGACTTCTGGCTAAGCAGTGCTCCCGCACATTGACCACCAGAGGACAGCTCCTGCATTGAGCGTCTGACCCCTGGTGGTTACTGCGTATCATAGCAACCAGTTGTTCCACTGTTCAGTTGATTTGCATATTAGGGTTTTATTATATAGAATAGGATTGGTGTTTAGAGAGAGAGACATCAATATGGGAGAAACAGTGACTGGCTACCTCCTGCACATCCCCTACTGGGGACTGAGCCTGCAACCTGGGCATGCAACCTGACCAGGAATTGAACTCACAACCTTTCAGTGCATGGGACGATGCTCAACCAACCAAGCACAATGGCAGGGCTGAGGCAGGCATTCCTAAACACATTCTCACAATGAGGAGCCTTGGGTGCGGAGAGGTTAAGTGAGTTACCCAAGTTCAGCCAGGTAGTCAGGCTCTACCCCTAACCAATCTGTCTAGCGAGGGATTTATCCTGGTTGTCAGTTTCCCAGGTCAGGAAAGCCATGATGCATCAGATTATACAATTATCATAGAATATATCAACCTTAGGAGTTAGATTTTTAAGTATTGCAACATGCATCCGGCCAGTGTGCTCAATTGTTGGAGTGTCGTCCCATGCACCAAAAGGTCACCACTGGTTTGACTCCAGTTCAGGAAATATGCTCTGATTTTGGGCTCAATCCCCAATAGGGGGCATGAAGGAAGCACCGTGATCAGTTTCTCTCTCATCAATGTCTCTCTCTCTCTCTCCCACACTCTCCTCTCTCTCTCTAAAGTCAATAAAAACATATTAAAAATATTTTGCAATGTCTTCTCTTCAGACTTTAGATACCCGTTCTATTCATTATGATCCATTTTCTTCAGCATTGTTAAATGGTTACTACACAATACAAAGCTGATTGTTTTAAAGTTGAAAAATAAAAGAGAAACATAAAAACTGATAAAGTAAAATGCCTACCAAATATTTACTGGAGAAATTACTATAAAATGCAGTTAAGGGGGGAAAAATGAATCCACTAAATTGCATTATAGTTGTTTATCCATTACTGAAGGACAGAGACAAAGGAAACCTTGAAATTCAGATGATAGTAGACTTGATATGAACCATGAGCAGTCCTCTATATACTAGTAAGATGGTGTAGACAATGTATACAATCTTGATTTGCATCCTTGATTCCCAAATGCCAATCAAAAACATACAGGTATTTACAAAAAAAGAAGAAAAAAAGTGGATTCTCTTAGTTCAAACCTGTGTTGTTCAAGGATCACCTGTACTCTTTTACAAAGGAGGAGGGGAACTGAGCCAGAGAGATTAATTACCTTAGAAGTCAGGCCGCTACAAACAACAAAGCCAGGGTTCAAACCTGCATTATGTCTATTGGGCTTGAACTGGGGAACTACACTGACTTTGCATAACTACTGTTAATGTAAGAATCTGGGTTAGTCCATCAGGAATATCAGGAGCCAATCCAATCTTGAAAGCACTGGCTCTCGTATGTGTAAAAGATTTTAGACTCTCAAATTCCTTATTAGTGCCACATACTACTTTCTCAATCACAGTGGAACAAAAAGTCAAAATTTATTGACTTTTGCTCTGAGTGGGATTCTTCCCCAATCATTATACTGATATCACTCCTCATCAGGCCTCCAATAACCTCTCAACTCCCTAATCCAGTGGATTATTTTCATTCTTACCCCCCTTTATCTTGACAGGCCAGACAAATTGACCACTTTCTACTGCTTCCAAGTTCCTCTCCTTCCTTGGCCAACACTCTCTCCCAATTCTACTTATTAGTAGTTTCCCGCCCCGGCCCCCTGTTTCTTTCAGCAACTAAACCCTCTCCTCTGCACAAACCATAAATGTAGCCCCAACCCCCCAACAATAATAACAATTCATTGGTGGAAGTGGTAACAAAAGGGACATTCTTTTTTCAAAAACAAAGTATATGATAAATCAGAAACTTTCTGGCCCAAAAAATGGGTTGGACTAGATGAGTAGATCCCTCCTGCAGAGCAGATATATCTGGTATAAAGTCTCATATAGCAGCTCTAAAATTCAACGAGTCTAATAATTATGGTATGATGTCTCTAGCAAATGATCAGCTTTTTCCCTGATTCTTTTTAAATCATCACACCTTTTCCTTAATAAATTCAACCCTCAGTAATTTCATTGTTGTGGGAAAGAATTGTGAAATACCTTTACTATCAATGAAGCATACCAAATTTAGAATTTAATTTCAGGCTTAAATATACAAAGGATCAGAAGCCTAACGACCTGTAAAAAGAAAATCACCTTAAATACCATCGTGCAACTTCTTCTTTCAATTTAGAATTGTAAAAACTCTTAGAAACGAAAAGAAACATGAAGGTTTTGTTTACTTCCTTACCTAACCAACAGTCCTTTCTACAGAATCCTTACTATTTTTTGAACATCTGCCCTAATAATACCCAATCCTCTTATATTCTCGTTGCCTTTAAAAAGTAAATCTTTTTGCATTTTTAGGCAGATGACTGAACATACCACACATGACTTTAAAAGGGTTATGTAGGTAGCATCTAATGGATAAAAATGTTAGAGAGCCTTTTTTCTTTTCAATTTCTCAATCACTAGTAAAACAATGCTCAAAATTTAAAGCTGTGGTAAAGATAAAAACACACACACACCCAGATCACTTACAAACTCAATTAAATACAACAGTAACAACTCTATAAACCTCTCTGATGTGTGTACTAACAGAACCGATGTAAAATGTGTTTGCCTCAGCAGTGAACTTGCCGGACAGAACAATCTCATTCCCCATGGACCTAGCATGGGCCCAATCAGGGCACCTTCCATCTGTAACAATCTTTGCTTACTTAAATTCCCTAAAACATGACTCATCTCTCAATGTGCAAGGTCCCTTTCACCTCCATAATTCTTCCCACAGAACAAACATGTCATTAATGAGAGGCATACCATTTCTTCGAAGGATGGTACATGACATCAATTACTTTGTAGAAGTCTTCAACGAATCAGAAAAGTTAACAGTAATTTAATTAGGAGGGTAACATTAAAAGTTTACTCTCAAAAGTATCTACTTGTAAAATAATTTTGTTTTCTCCAAATCAGTTAAGCCCTTATGTTTGACGCACAGTGTACCTTTATTACAGAAATGATACCATTTATAATAATTCGAATCCTATTTCAAAGGTCAGACTAATTCAGAACTTTTTAGAATCTAAAGCCCACAGGTAAAGCATTTTACGTTGTAATTACTCATGCAGCAGGATACTGTCGCTTCTCCTAGAAGATATTTGTAAATTCCCTAAGCCAATCCTCATAAATAAATTCAGAGAGTAGTACAATGTATCAGCTACAAGCTTTCTGTGAAAGACTGTGATGTTTTATCTTTGTTTGCACAGAAGCCTTCACAAATGGACTTCCCAGTTTCCTCTCACCATCTCATTTCCTTGTCCTCTCCCCCTTACCCTCCACACACACACACACACACCACCTTTGCCTGGTACATATTAGTCACTAAAAATATTTCCCTCTTGTAGGAGGAAAACAAAATATCATTTGCAAATATAGCATGTACATCTTACGTGCAATAAATAAATATGTGCAAGCGGAGGATACACTCATCAAACCTAGATCCATTTTGGCGAATTCCCTCCAGGGCCTACATACGTGTATTATGCAACAGCCACCATTCCAGATTGTAATCCCTGTCCCTGATGCTGTGTGTGGCAAAACACAAATGGCACGACTATAATCCGCTAAGGTACTTACGTACATTCACGACAGAAATTAAAACAACAATTACCAAATTCTCAGGAACCTTGAAAATGACAAATGGAGTAACAAACAGTTCAGAATCACAACTTTTCCCTTCTGGTAGCCCCAATGCCCTCAAACACCCTCACACGTGAGCATTTTCAATTGAGGTTTTGAAAGGATCTCCCTGAGAGGGGGGAGGGGCGGGCATCAGGTGGTTCTCCTAAAATCCACTCCCCGTCAGGGACCCACCCCAATTTCCAGACGCTGAAAAGCGAATACGATGCTTCATTTCTCCCAAAGGATCCGAATGGGAGTGAGTGTGGGCAGATCCCAGGGCCACAAACCATCCATCGGCTCTCCTGGGGCACAGGGCCTAGAAAAATCGCATAGGGGCAGCTAAGAATGAGGACAAAATTGCACTGAGCTGCATTCTGGAAGTGAGGCATCTACACCACACCCAGTCCGGCGGTGGCTAAGGGTCCGGGAGGCGGTCAGAGCATCTCCGGGGACCACCTCCGGGTGCACGGCGCCCAGAGCTCCCGTTCCCCACCTGGCCGGGCCGGGTGCTCCTCAAGCCGGGGATCCACCGGGCGGGGAGGCTCCGGGTGGGGGGCTCCGAGGGGAGGGGGCTCCGCAGGCTCAGGGGGATCCCAACGCATCCGGGGAGAGCGAAGCAAGGCGAGGGAGGCATCCCCCACAAAATGGTGGCGCCGGCGCACCTGGGGCGCCCCCTCCCCCGGGCCCGGTCCGCCCCGGAGGCCGGCGTGGGCCTGCGCCCGCCCAGCCCGCAGGTGGCGGTCGGTCGGCCGGTCGGCGGGGGCGGACGGGGCGGCAGCTCGGCCTCGGCCCGCGGCCCCGCCGGCACGGGCGGCTTACTCACCTCGGACGCGCCGCCCGCGGAGCCGGGAGCGGAGGAGGCGGGGCCGCGGGAATGAATGGAGCGGCCGCAGCCCGCTCGCCGCCGGGACCCCGGCCCGGCCCTGACTGCCGGGGAGGGTGCGGCCGCCGCCCCTCGGCCCGGGCGCCGGCTCCTGGTCGGCGGGTCGGCCGCAGCCCACCGGGCCCTCCGCCGTGACGCACTCGCCGCCGCGCCTCGAGCTCCGCCGCCGCCGCGCGCGCCGCGCCCCCCGCGTCCCCCCGCCCGCCGCCCGCGCGGCCCTCCCGGCGCCGGGGCCGCCCGCCGCCTCCCTCCCTCCCTCCCTCCGGCCGCCGCGGGCAGGTGCGGCGCGGCCGCCGGGGCGCGATCCCCGCTTCTCGCCCCTCCCCCGGCCCGGGCAGCGGCTCGGATTAGAGTGACCTTGGCTTAGGGACCGCAATAGGGGCGGGGGCGTCGCGGGGCGAGGCGCTGGGTTTGCGCACCCCAACCTGTGCACAGCCCGGAGCGCCCCTGCCGGCGCCGCCCTCCGGGGATCGGCCCTGGGTGGGTGAGACCGTGCTGGCCCCGGGCTGCGGCCTTCTTCACCCCGCCTCCTCCTCCCCCCTAACCGGCGGCCCCCCGGGAGGGCGCACCCCTCCTCCCTAACCCGCGGCCCCCCGGGAGGGCGCACCCCTCCTCCCTAACCCGCGACCCCCGGGGAGGGGAGCGGAGCGCCCCGTTCACAGGCTGGGCAAGCCCGAGGGCCTGGACTTCCATCTTGAGCAAACAAGGACCCACCGAATTCCTGCGTCCACCTTTCCTCTTCCACAATCTGGTCCACGCGGACTGACCCCCACCCACCCAGGAGGACGCCGGCCCCACCTTCCTTCCTCCCCTCCCTCCCCTTTCTCCAAGGCTCCTGCCGGCCTGAGCGCCCAAGGCCCTTGGCGAAGGACACCCCATAAGCTCTTAAGGATGTCAAGCATGGGGGATTTCTTAGGAGTAAGGCATGTCATGGGTTTAAATATGTTTAAATATGTCATGGGGTTTAAATATGTCTTGAGGAAGAATATTGTATGTAAGAATGCTAAGACTTCCTTTCCTAGTGCATCAACTCTGGGAAATAAACAGCTCCTCCCGTAAATTGACATTGCTCCTTCCATTCCTAAGAAATATTGAGCAATCGAAATACCAACCTTTTACGAATTTACCTCAAAACAATACTTGTTGATGTAGATTTATTTGACTCGGGTATATTTTTTTAAAAATCCAATAGGTTTTTCTGCCTCAAGTTACTCCTAAGAATTAATTTCACCTGCTACAGGATGCGGCTTTACGTGTTAAAGAAAAACCATTTACTTCCCTCTTTGTTTGAGATACATTAAATCTTGCTTGTGTTTACCCATACTCAGAATCCATGAGCTCTCAGTGAACAAAGAACTAAAAAAAGAAAAAAAAAAGTCTTTATCAGATTGATACATGCTGTAAATCATGACCAAAATATTTTGAAATATGCTTTGAACCTTTTGTCTGAAAAGTTTTGCAGAAAGTTGTTAAACTTAAAAGTAAATATATATATATATATATATATATATATATATATATATATATATATATATATATATAAAGCGAAGTGAGAGGCAACAAGCTTTTATTTGAAATCAAAGAATAGCTACTCCAGAAGCACCGATTCAGGGAGAAACCCAAATAGTGTTTCAGTTATGGGGTGAAGAAGGCAAAGGGTTTTTATGAGAAAAGGAAGAGAAATAATTACATGAATAGAAAGAAGGAATTTCTATTTGTGCTAATAAGCTGTCATTCTGTAGCTGTACATGGCTGTTTACTGATTCTGAGAAAATGTCTTTAATTATCAGTCCGCATAGGAGGTCTGCCTTCTTGTTATTTGCAAACCATTGTTGCCAATTAATGCCAGTTTCTCACAGAGAAAAGGATTATTGCTTGGTTTTGTTTCATATGCTTGCTTTATTATTTTTTTAGCTTACAAGTAGAAGAAAACATGTTAAGAGTTCTTGCAGTTTTTAAATATATGTTTTAAGGAGATTGGGGCCATCTTAAGAGAAGCTTGCCACAGCACTAGACATTGGAGGTCGCTGGAACAAATGACCCAGAAGAAAGCCCTGACATTGCAATGGAAAGAGGAATTCCTAATGGCTCGATGATGGCTGTTTTTGCCTGCTAACACATTACCAAGCACTTTATTAACTTTCTTTGTGGAAATTAATCCATTTGATCTTTATAACCATCCTTCGAGGTATTTACTAATGTTATCCCCAGTTTACCTAAGAAGAGACTGAGGCACACAGAGAAACTAAGCAATTTGCCCATAGTCACATAAGCTAATAACCTGGCAGTTTGGCTCAAGGGCACACTCCCTTAACCAGTATACAATACCACCTTTCATGGGCACAATTATTAACTGGTCCACCTAGTATTTCATTACTAGAGGCTCGGTGCCCGGGATTAGTGCACTGATGAGGGGCATGGCCTGTGGGGATCAGCCCACCATGGCAGGGCCACTCATCCCCGTCAGCTGAGCGGCCCTCCCACTGTGGGAGCACACTGAACACCAGAGAGCAACCCCTGGTGGACAGTGCACATCATAGCGACTGGTCAACTGGTCATTCTGGTTGTTCCCCCTTTCGTTCGCTGGGCTTTTATTATATAGGAGTATTTGTAGTGGGAAAACATTAGTGGTGTGGAAAGAACAGAGAAGACTGATGAGATAGTTAAATAAATATTGCTATATCCATACAAAAGAATGTTGTGTAGTCACATTCTGAACAATATTTAATGACATGTCATTAAGTCTTTAAGTCACATTTCTGAACAATATTTAATGACATGGGGAAATGTTAAGGAGAAAAGACATCTGTTTAAAAAGTATGATCCCACTTTTGCTTTAAAAATTATGCTTAATTGTACAGATACATTCAGAGAATATATAGACCATAAGGAAATATATTGAAATGTTAACACCAAAAGTTGGAAAATGGATTAGAAAGAGGAAAGACAGGGTAGTTAAAAAACTGGATAGTAATTTTGTATTTTGTTTATAATATTTTTCTCATTTTCTATGATGAACATATAGTCACTAAATAATAAAAAAAAATGTTTTTTAGAAATATATTTCTTTATTGATTTACGAGAGGAAGGGAGAGGGAGAGGGAATCATTGATTGGCTGTCTCCTACACGTCCCACCCTGGGTGTTGAGCCTACAACCTGGGCATGTGTCCCTGGCCAGAATTGAACACGGGACCCGTCAGTCCACAGGCCAACACTCTATCCACTGAGCCAACCCTGCCAGAGGGGTGTGTTTTTTTGGTTAAGAAATTTATGACATTTAACCGATAATATGCAATGATGAAGGATTATACTTATGGGAACTAGGTAATAACATGGAAAAACATGTGTGCTAGAACATTAAGTTATAACACACTATATTACTTTTTAGAAAGAATCAGGTTAAGAACTGGAAAAAAGGACTATCAAAGCTAAACAAAGCCACACACTAATTAAAATGGGTAGAGACAGATACTAAGTAACTGCCACAGTAGCGGAAAGAACTGAGCTCGACTCTGATTTGTGCAGTAGAGACTGGGCTTTTTAAGAGTAGATTGAGGGAGTGGGGCAGGGGAACGATAAGAGGGGATTTGAGCAGAATTAGGAAAGCGAAAAGTTACAAAAAGCAGGTAAGAGGGTTGGTTTAATGTCTGCTAACTGGAATGTATCAGTTAGGTTCCCACCTTCCTGCGGAGACTGGGAGACAGAGTCCCTATTCCTCAAAGGAATGGCTTTCAGGTCTTTGAGAGACACTTCTGGGTTGTCAGCGATACTGACTCAGTTTAAAGGGACAGAGGAAGAATTTACAATTGTAAGTTTTTTAAAAAAATAAATGCTCTAAAAATGGGAGGGATCAAGAGCCATCTGTCTGGTGTTGCTGGGACAAATGGCAATCATTTTGGCAGCCTTGAGCTTTTCCAGACAGAAACCTAAGGAGGCTAGGTCATTCCAGGGCCTCAGGTTGCTAGAAGACATGCTAGAGTTTTGCCAAGTCTCTTAGGGAAGGGGATTCTGCCATTCTCGGGGCCAACATGTCCAAGTTCAAAAAGTGGAAACTGAAACAGGATTTGCTGGGTAGACCCTCTTCCTGCACAACTGTATAAAGACAGCTGCCTCTTTAGTCTCCTAGTAAGTGAGTGCCTGGACGGAGCCAATTCCTGGAGGAAGAGAAGGCCTGGTAACAGGCGCCAGTGTCCTTGCTGCTGGTCTCTGCACCCAGACGGACCTTGCCCAAGGCCGCCCACCAATGGGCACCATAGGAAAGGCTGAGAGCCTGCCTGGGCTCGGTGTGCACATCAAGCCCCATAGCTCCAGGCTTCATCAGCCGGGGAGGGGCACCTTTTTCTAATCTATTATATTTAACCAAACCACATGCCCTTCTGCGCTAAGGGCTCCTCACCACGTCAGGTAAGGGATGTTTAACACGGAAAAGCAGAGCCAGGATCATTGGAGATCATTCTTTCTGGGGCCCTATAAGAAGACATAACACATTTTAAATGAAAATTGTACACTTGTGTTTACTAAAGATAGAGAGGCCTGCCCTGCCAGTGTGGCTCAATAGTTGACATCGACCTACGAACCAGGAGGTCACAGTTTGATTCGTGGTCAAGGCACATGCCTGGGTTGTGGGCTCGGACCTCAGTAGGAGGGCATGCAGGAGGCAGCCAATCAATGATTGTCTCTCATCATTGATGTTTCTATCTCTCCCTCTCCTTTCCTGATATTGATAAAGATATATTTAAGAAATAAAGATAGAGAGGCATTATAGTCACACACATGTATCCTCATCCTCATTCACACTCCTATGCACCAGTCCCACACCCCCACCCCTACTGCCAGCTTCATTTGCTGTTTAGAAAAATATCACAAAGCTGAAGACAGCAACATTACCCATTGGCTTTCTTCATGTCCGCTTAGTTACCTGAACAAGGGATTTGATTAACAGCTAAATTCTGTCCCGCAGATAATACTAGAATTAAAAATGCTTTCAAAGTCAAAATAAGCATATGGAAGCAGTAGACATTGTAATGAAGAAAACAAACATAAAGCAAAGACTCCTTCACGTTACCTTTAAAACCAAAAATCAAACAAACACACAAAATGCTGTGAAAGTCTAAATACTAGATAACTAGATTTAAAAAAAAAGATCAAGATTT